TTTCACTGCTGTAGATTTTTTGATGAGAGCGATGGCATGTCTATGGGTACTGAAAAATCACGCTATAGAAAACACCAAGTGTCTCAGGCGCTGAGGCATTGCCGCTTGCAAAAATTTTTACTATCTACTCTTCTTCCCGCAGAGTCATGGTCATTTTGCCCCTCACCTGCTAAGACATGATGGTTTTGCAGCTTAAATATTTCTTTTTTATTAGACAACATTATTTTTCAATGAAAAAAAAAACATTTTCATGAGTCCCATAGATTGAATCTCCATAGCATGAGACAAAAATGAACGGTCTAAAACTATCAAAAAATTTGAAAATATGAACATGTACTCAGAAATACACAAGATTTATCCGTTCAAATTAAAACATACAATTTTGAGAAAGAGAAAACTTTAGCAACCAACAAGCAAATGAAATTCTTAGACACTTAAATAGTTATCAACCAGTCATGTCCTTATCTGGTAATGGCTTGAACCGAACGCTGATTGTCGCGTAAATTAGATTGTTAACGTTAACAGAGTTATGTATATGATTTCTTTTGAGTATAAAAATTTTGATTCTGACATTTGTTTTTCTGACCAAAAATTTAATTTTGTTAACCTAACCCAGAAGTTTAAAAATACATGCTTTTCAATAAAATTGACAAATTAATAAACAACGTTAAGTCAAACAAAGCTGGCTTCTGAACAATATTAGAATGATTAGAAACATGTAACTATAAAAGTTATGTATAAAACTTAGATATAAATATAAAAAGAGGTAAATATAAAGTTATATATACATTTGTGATAAAAGACCCTAATATTTTTGTTAATTAGTACCTGTTCATTTAATTGTAATAAAGATAGCCAGCAGACAGTTGGAAAAGAATCAATGAACGCAAAACTGACAGAAAAACAATGACTTGTTTTTTTGAAAAATCCTAACTTTCAAGTTTCAACACATAGGCGAAGCTGCGCAGCACAAACACTTGCGTGAACACTACCATAAAGCATTTCTATCATGTGAAATAAGAAAAAGTATAGATAAGCCTCGAAATAGCAAATACTCGGCTACCTTCCGGGTTCGAATTTGCGACCTAGCAAAATTGAGTCTCACATTTAACTACTCAACCACGGATGCCTAAAATCCCCAAAAACTAGTCATTAATAACCCAGCTGCATATGCTAAAAAATTGCCAGTTCGATGCAGCAAAAGTAGTTCCAAACAAAAAAGACACAATTTTGCAAGTAATAAGCTGGAAAGCATAGAACCAAATTATGAATAAATTATGCATTTCAAAAATTGCGAGATACATTGCGAGATACACTGAGTTAGAAAATTTCTGAAATCGAGCTTTTTATCATTGTACTGTTGTTTGAAAAAAAAAAACTTTTTCCGGTGTATTTGATGAACTAAAAAACCATCAGCTGTGTTAACATTTTAAAAATCAAATGTCAAAGCACATATTATATTATACTTCTACCGCAGCCTACCAATTCAAAAGTGCCAAAAAAGCAACACTTAAAAAAATATGCACTTAAAACTCGATTTTTTAGGACTATTTATGATTGACAATTTTTTGGATCAATGAGTACAACTTTTATTTTGCTGGAAAATCTGATGATTAACTTCCATTTTTGAAATTAGAAATCCATCACGTTTTTCGTGAATTCTAAATTTTTGTTGTTCGTTAATGGAATTGCTTTCCCTTTAACAAATGAGATGAACTGAACTTAAAAAGAAATCAAACAGCAAAAAATTCTAGCCTGAATAAATGTTAAGACTTTTCCTGAAAAAAAATATCACGATCTATTGAAGAGTCATCACAACATACATTTTTCTATTATCAAACAGGTATAATTATGAAAAAATTTAGGCGCTGAACCGAATCGAAACTCTGTTGTGTCAGGCGCTGACGTTTAAGCTATGTAATATGGGTTCAGCATCAAGCATCTGAATTTAATTTCAAGCCATCAAATGCTTCGGTGATTTGTTACACAAATGGTTAACCTGATAAATCTTACTCCGATTTGGGAACACTAGCTCGTAGAAAGTAGACAAACAGACCACGCGACTTAAAAAAGCAGCTATTTGTACTACCTTTGAAAAACATCGCCACCAGACAAGGAGATAAGTATTTCAACTTTTTCCGAACAATTTCGAGATTCAAGAAAAAACATATCACCTTCAAATTCTTCAATTCCAAGTATTTTTCAAAAATGACTTTCTGGTTAAGCTTAACCTATTATGAGAAAAATGGATCATTGGATTTTTTTTCCGCTGAGAAAGCTAAAAAAAAATGAAAGTACTACTAAAACTGCAATTCATTCACGCTTTTTGTGTACCATTTGCATTTGTCGTTGGAGAAGGTTGCCTTCCATTTCGCAAATAAAATTAAAACGAACTTCAAACCAAATCAAAACCAGGCCCCGAAAAGCTTTTAACTATCTTATTGCTTTTATCTTATATACGGTTGATTTGAACACATCTATTGTATAACATGGATAGTTTGACTCTTAGTTTATGATCAAAAATTTTCTAGTTAAGGATTTTTTTTTCATTTTTGAATAACTTTCTCCAACACGCAACGCAGAAAACGTTGAATGTTTCGTCTCATCTCACTTTTCTGACACAAAGACAACTTGGAGCTTCTTATCACTTGTCATACATGAAAAAAGCGCTTTCAGGTCATGTTCCATAAATTTTTACGCAGCCGAAGTTGCACTTCGCATACACAAGCAAAAGCATGACCGATAACGCTTTTGTGAAAAATTGAATGAGTAAAACTTTGAGCCTACAAAGTGACACACGCCAATTATGAGTCTACACAATCGCTAAGTGACGCAAGTCAATTATGACGCCTTAGCAGTACCAGTCAATTTGAAAAAAAAATTACTAACTAACATGCCTCAATTTATAGAGCGAGCCCATTTTAACCTAAATACGAAAAAGTCCATTTAAAACATCTGACCTTGCCCAGGTTCGAACCCTCTTATTTTGTTGTGGGTCTCCTTCTCTACCTCTACGCTACCGATCTATAACACCTTGTAGCTAAAGTGCTATTTGTAATATAATAGTCTATGTTTATATCCTTAGCATTGGCTGTACTTAATAGCTGCTTATTGATCAAAATGAACACTTTCAAAATGAACACTTTATGTCGCAACAATATTTGCGACTTAGGTTGGATTAAAAAAAAGAGAGTTCATACTATCACACAAGCTTTGCTTGTGTAATGATAGATAAACCACCAGCAAACACATCAGTGAAATTATACTGCTCCTCAAAAGACGTAAAATGAGGTGAATATGACGAAGAAATGGATTAACCGAAATCCTCCAAGCCGATTTAATTTTCAAGCAAAAAATAAATCAATGGGAAAAAATTACGCTGAGTTACAAACAACGTGAAAACAAATTTCGACCAAGATCGAAGCTACACTCTGCGAACACAAGCGAGAGACCAAAAACGAAACTAAAAACAAGCCTTAGAAAATAAAAACTTCTTTGTTACCGAAGCGAAATCCCGACCTCGAGATTAGGAGTCACGTCCTTGCACATGCACATTGTCGCTTGGCAATTGTCAAACAAAACTATGCAGCAAAATAGCCGCCAAATGAGAATTTCTTTTTGCGAGCAAGGGTAGAAACAATCAGGTTTATTAAAATAAAACTAGGACCAAGTTAACATCCTTCCCCCCCCCCCCAAATCCATTTAGGGGGAGGATGTTAACTTAGTTCTGAGTTTGAACTTTCAGCCAATCAGAATTGAGCATTTTACATGCAGCGCTAAGTCGATTTAAATTAAAAAGAACGCTGCGGTGGAGGAATGTTAACTTGATCCTAAAACTACGTTCGCTTGTGTAAAAGTACGGTTATTTGAATTCCACCCATGCTCAATATATATCTTTTGACCGGGTGCCGGACATCAAGCCGACGGGACTTCAAGCCGAATCGTAAAATTAGGGACTTCAAGCCGAAAATTTTCTCATTAAGTCATGAAATAAGATTAATTGAACACTTTTCTGAAGATTTTCTCATTTTCATGATCTTTAGTCGGTATTTATCAGCGTTTTCATAAAATTTAAACCTCCAAATGATGTTTAGGAAAGTTGAAAAATAAAACACGGCTAAAGGCAAATTTCTTGTTTATAATTTATGCATTTCAAAAACCGGCTGATATTATTAACGGATGTCAATCCTAAGTGATTCATTGTCATGAATAACGCTTATTATGGACTAAACTAGCGTAAGATTTTGAACAGCAACGTTGTACAGATGAAAAATTATTGATTTGAGGTGCTTGTAAAGTTTAATTTTCGGCCTTAAGTCCCTTCGGCTTGAAGTCCCGTCGGCTTGTTGTCCTAGACCCCTTTTGACCAGATATCTCTGCTGGCGAATTGTTTCAGGTATTTTTGTTTAACTACATGTAGTTGTTAACCTGCTAAAATTGGATAGTGCGTTCTGATAAGGCGTGAGAAACGCAGCGTAATCAATCACATTGCCTCAGTTCAGAATGGTTTCTATACCGAAATATCTCGTTAAAACTACGCACAAACTGTTATTTTTGCGCGCATTATTTATTACATAATGTTGGCTCCAAAATTTGGAAAAAATTACCAATGTATGTGCTCCAATAAAGCGAATATAGCTTATAAAAGGCCTAACAAAAAATTTACGGTACTGGTTTAGTTGTTTGGCCCCTAAAAAACCAGTATATTCGATTGGTTCTACCTATTTCCATTTTAGATGAAAAAGCAAAAAATATATGTTTCTTTTCCGGGATTTAAGCCCTCTGCGGTTAGGATGCAAGAGCGACTCGTAACAACTATACTAACAAGGCCGTATTTTCCACCCATACGGTGAAAAAAAGTGGCCATTGAGAAAATAAAGCTGGAAACAACAGGATTCAAAACCAAGTAATCCAGGCAGGAACACAATTATTTTTCATTGTTTGAATGTCTACCTGTCGTATCGACGAATACCGTTAAATGACACAAAAATAGATTCAAAAAACGCAGAAGAAAAATTAATTCAATGCTAACTATAATTAAGTAACAAAAATTGAACAAAGAAAGATTTTAAATACACTAGCATTCACAGTAATAACTCCCCTTCCTAATTCATTAGTGTTCAAACGCAAATCATTGCATCGCTTTATAAGCATTACTATTTTCTTCATATGCTTCATAGGCAGAATTTTAGCTCGGAAGTTATTTCGCTCGGTTCGCTGAGCTGGGACTACTATGACTAGTACCCTTGATGACGTTGGTGTGTTTGACAACTTTCCACTTTCTGTTAGTGTAGTCCATTTCGAATACTGTGGACACAACTGAAGTGCACAGCTCCCCTTTGATCTCAGCCGGGACTCTCATCTCCGACAACACGACACTCACTTTGCTGCCTTTGTCTCCTCCTCCCCCTGGCCCCCAACTGTTTTCTTCCGCCGATGCTTCGCCTCCGAGGAACCTACGAACAAGAGTATATAGCCAAGAACGATAAGTTACATAATAAAAACGCAACTGTTGAGCTGTAGAAGTTTTCAGGTCGAAAAGCTGTTCTGTCATTAAGGAACGCAATTTGGTTTTTGCAAATTTGTCATTTAACTTCACGGAATGAGAAATATTGCCTCGAAATGAATCTCAATCAACGAGAATCGACGCAGTAGTAGCGACTTCACTGCGGCCGTAGTAGCAACAACAATCAGTTAAATTTGTACTGCATTTTTTTTGATGAAATCATGAGCTTGATTTTCAGATACCAAGTTTTCCATAAAAATGTGACGTATAATATTCTAATACACGGTACAGACTCAGAAAACAAACGAATGTTTACCTTTGGATTTTCTGTCGATCGGCGTCTGTCAGTTTGGTCGCACTGGAAAGCAGCTTGTCCAGAGTGGACAACCCTGTTGCAGGAGTCTTAGAAGTAGAAGCTGTTGCTGCATCATTCGTCTTCTGACTGGCTTGTCTGGTTGAACTTTGAACTTTACTACGGCTTCCAGTTGGCACTGATGAATTAGCGATTGGGTTGAACATCATCTGATTGTTTCCACCGGATGGCGACATCTTTATGTTACTCTGCAAAAACATATAAACGCTAAAACTTTTTGTTAGCTTAATTTATCTAATACAATTAAATGCTCTAGAAAAAAATACGGAAAATATTCAGATTGCTCAGCAAATATATTGAATTGCTAAGGAAATATACGTCACTTAAAAATTGTTCGGTTACTGTCTGAAAAAACAATGCTCACCATTGCCAACGGAGAAAGATTCGTCGAACTGTTCTGGTCTGCAATTTGTTTTAGTTGATTGGCTATCGACCTTACAGGCGAGGAGTTCCTCTCGTCTATCAAACTTGAGTTCGCTGGTTTCAGGGAACCAATGGCATCACTTGCTGGCTGAAAGAAGTTGAACACTGCGGCGGGTGAACCGGATTCATTTCCAGGCGTCGTACCGGCCGGACTCCTTGTTACTCCTCCCGGACCTCCAGGAGTGCCACCGCGACTGCTCATTGGACTCTGACTAGACAAAGAGTGGGTGGGGGTCCCGTACTGAATGTTACCTCCAACTCCCATCCCCACCCCGGAAGACGATCGTTTGTGGGGGTAGTCGTGTTCGAAAGGAGAGTATTGTCCGTGCATTTGGTTCTGACTGGTCAGTTGTGTGGGTGTATTTGGGTTGGAGCCAATCACAGGGAACATGCTCTGGAACGGCTGGTTATAGCTCTTAAATCCAGAATCCAAAGGCTGCAACAAATTTATCACTGTTATATTTTTACGAAAAAAAAGTAACGTACTAAACTGAAACCAGACTCACTTCACTACCGACTTGGTTGGCGTATGTTGTTTGTAATCCCATCATGTAATCAGGAATAGCAGCTGATGAACCACTGTTTGTGCCTGGTTGAAAATTCTGTGGCTGTTGCATTCCAGCTCCGTTTCCCCCACCCCCTCCCCATCTCTCATCAGAGCGGGGTTCGAATGATACAGTGGCACTTATACCCACCCCTGCCTCGTAATCGGATTTATTCTCCAGTTTGGTAACATACATATGACCTGCTGTCATACTAGCACCCGCCTGAGAAGCAGCGTCAGGGTTCTCTTCTATTACTATATCGTGACCCCGACTTCCTCTTCTTCCACCTCTTCCGACTTCTCCAGAAGCTCCTGCACTCAGAGGTGTCTTCCCACTTTCCCCTCCAATTGATTCCTCTTCCTCGCTGAGACTCATGTTGTTGTCTGCATTTTCCTTTTTAGCCGAAGATGAGACACTCTCATCTATAGTCTTGTTGTACTCGCCATTCGCATCTCCTTTACCACCACCTAAACATCGCAGCTCGATTTGATTACACAGAGGCGAAGCGGAGGTTCGCGTCATTTGGGATACAATGCAAGCTAGCGAACAGAAAAATTCGAAAACAACTAAGTCGGAAAAAATAGTTTGAAAAATCGATTTTTTTTAATCAATAAAAAACTCATTTTCAAAAAAAAAACAGTCGAGAAACACAACTGGTAGCATTTATCAAGCTTTTAATAACATTTGAAGGTCCACTAAGTCGACAATATTCGTGTAGACGCCCGTTGACTCAAAAACAATTTTAAAATAATCAGTTTTCGGCCTTCAAACGATAGAACATGACAAAACCGATAAATCATTAGCAGAAACCATGAAGACCGACCGAATAAAGCTTCAAGCAAAGAAAATGAAAATATATAAAATCAGGGTTATATACAAAGTCGAATCAACAACACTTGAATCTACCAGGAAATTTGCACATATTACAATAACAACCCGTCACAACTAAGCCGTCATAAGTTAAGCAAACAAAAAATAGGCCGGCAATGCAATTTTTTCCGGAAACAAAATTCAGTTTATTATATACTGAAAAAACGAGGTCCAGCCGGGTTTCGAACCCTAAATCTTAAGTTGCAAAGACCAAGTGGAAAGATACTGGAAGACTGGAAATTACTAAGGTCGAACATTAAAGCAAGTTCAATTTTTTTTTACAGATTTGAAAGACACGTTAATGGCGGGAAAAAAGTCTTGTTCCCTATTACTAGACAAGTGTAATCAGGTTAAAATGCCTGTTCATTTTCGGTTTGTTTTCAAGAGAACTAAAAGTCAATGTCTAATCATTTTTATAATTATTGAATTGAAGTCTTTCTTCCTTCATTACAAGCGGCCAAAGAGATCGCAAAAAAATCAAAAAAAAGTATGTCGCAAAATTGGTCTGCATTTTTCTGATTTTCAGACCAAACTCCACGAAATTTGTTAACACTGACACATCAATTTTGATCACACTCAATTTAACTCTATTGTTAACTCAACGTTCTTAAATCTACAGCTACCTCTCAATCTGCATATTTATACCTTAGCTTAACTCCCCGTAACTAAAAACAACAAGGAGTTAAGGAGAAAAAAAACTTTTGAACAGATAAGCTAAAAAATTAGTTTTGTTCTTAAATCTTGGCTGAAATCATGGTGGTCGGAACATTCTGTGATACTTGCACAGCAATCGGCTAAACTGGTATGATATAAAAGACAATAGTTTGTTACATAGGCGAAGCTGCACTTCGCAGACACAAGCGAGGACAATAAAAAATAGATCTAAAAAAGCTAAAACAAAGTGAAATAGGAAAACATAAAATACACCTTGAAAAATTTTGCTGAGATTAGGAGTATCACGTCTTCACACCTGCTCCACGGCAGCTTGTATTTTTACTAAAACTAGTCACCAATAAAGCAGCTAAAATTGCTATTAAATTGCCAATGCTACGCAGTCAAAGTCCGACAAAATAAAAATGAACTATTTCAATGTTCAGGATTTGAAACTCCGACCTGTAGATTAGGAGTCTCCTGGCCTAACATCAGCGCCAAGGTCACTTGAAAGTAAACTAGTGGCCCAGCTAATACTGGATGCACCTGTTTCAATGTTTGTAATCATATAATGTACTGATGTGAAAATTCGTAATTTTCAAAATTGAACTTTACGCAAAACTATAGTGGTTCTTCTGCTTAACCAGGGATTACCCACTTATTTATAATAAATAACTACTACTCGATCTTTCAATTGAGGTATCTGTCTCAGATTTGGCTGGGTAGTTTTCGAAAAAAATTGAAAAAAAAATCCCAAGAAATGATAAAAACTCGAAACTTGTGAAGTATGGGAATTGCATCTTGGGTAGGGAAAATTGTCACAATCAGTTTTTTTTCGACTGATCCCATTATACCAGATTTAGCTAGTAGTTTTCGAGATTCGCGAAGAAATCTTTAAAAAACGGTAAAAAGTTCAAAAATGGACTTTCTGAAGTCCATACCGACTTATCTACAAAAAATTAGGTAAAACAGTTAACGCAGAGAAGATCTAAGCCAGCTATTTGATGGAAAGTGTCATCAACCTCAGAATCACCAGATTAATTTTTGAAAAATAAAGAAACAACTTTTCATAAAACGGGCAATATTCATTAATTGAGCATTTTTCTAAAGCCAGAATTTTTTTTTCCAAAACGTAGGACATAGCCGCTTGCGCAGAGAACATTCACACAAATCGTTTTTTCTTCAAATGTAACCCTTAATAACAGAATTTGCAGGGTATTTTTTGAGAAAAACTTCCAAAAAACGGTCGGAAGTTCAAAAAATGGTTATTTTCTTATGTCCTTTTCTTCTACAAAAAATAATGGCGTAGCCTTTTATGCAAAGAAAATTTCTACCACTTGTTCTTGGCAATGAACCCTTAACCCTCATAATTTAATCTTTTGATTGAAATCCTCATTTCAGATTTTTGCAGTTGATATTTGAGAAAACGTAAAAAGTCATAACTAATAGGTCAAAAATCTCCCTACTAAAACTTTCGAAGGCCGCAAAACGTTTTTTTATTGATTAGGCCAATTTTCTATTTAGTTAATTTTTTTACACCACTTTTTTGAAAATCGGTACAGTAGTTTTTGAGAAAACTGAAACTTCTGGGAAAAGAGCAAGGGTTTTCCAACGCGTCGCAAAGAAATTTACAAATAACAATAAATCCCTTAAATTTTCATACACTTATCATGCACTTCGCATACACAAGCAAAAATATGACCGATAACGCTAATGGGAAAAACTGAATAAGTAAAACTTTGAGTCAACAAAATTTCTTATGTGACGCACGCCAATTATGAGTCTAGATAATTGCTAAGTGACGGAAGCCAATTATGACGCATTGGCAGTACCAGTCAGTTTGAAAAAAAGGAAATTTACCAACTAACAAGCCTCAATTAAAATCGAACCCTCTTATTTTGTTGCGGGTATCCTTCCCTACCTCTACGCTACAGATCCATGATGCCTTTAAGCTAAATGGCTATTCGTAATATAATAGTCTGTTCCAATGTCCTTAGCATTGGCTGAACTTAATAGCGGGTTATTGATGAACACTAATATTTGCGACTAAGGTTCGAAAAAAAAGAGAACTCATACTATCACACAAAAACCTGTTCTTTTTACAAACAGGAACTAACACTAGCCAAAAATAAAGCAGCAACATATGCTATTAAATTGCCTATACTAATATAGGCACAAATAGGAATCAACTGAAATATACTATAAGTGACAACAACAGCAATTTTATTTACGACCTAGATTGGAAAAAAGTTTCTCCAGTCATACTTTTTAAGACAGATGTTCGTAGTAATACACTACGCTCCGTTTGTGTAAATACACAAAGCAAGCAGGTTTTTCAAATCATACTTTATAAGACAGATGTCGAGGAATCTTCGAGAACGATCATTATGGAACTACTCACCCTCACTGTCGGCATTTGGGTTTACGACTGTCACCGATTTGTGCCTCTTCAGTCTCCCTGGCCCTCCAAGAGGCTGGTCTGTGATCTCTATCAACTTGGCCCCCCTCTTTCCTGCCGCATTCACACTCACGCCCCCACCTCCAACACTATCTTTGTTGGATCGGGAGGGAATCCCCCCGGTTGGCGAAACCCCAAGTGGGCTATCAAGAGCAGAAGCAGAAGACATGGCAGAATGTGGTTTCCCATGTAGATGGTTGGAGGCAGTGAGGTTCGATTTGTTCATTCCAAATTTGAGTCTGCTCGGGGCTGTTTTGTTCCTCACAGGCGCAGTTGTCAAGTTCATCATAGCCGCACTTCGATTAGACCTGCAGCAACAAAATAGAAAACTTGTCCCACCCAACAACAGTAGGAAAAGTGCTAAGGAACTAAAGAAAACCAAAATTACTGATTTTTTAGAAAGAACGTTCACCGAAAAAATAAAACGTTGAAGTTTGAATATCAAGAATCTTTTCTTCTTCTTTGAAATTTTTTTTAGCTGAAGATATTCGCCAGCTTTTTTTTTACAAAAGCCTGAATCAAGACAGGTGGCCAAAATAAGTCATTTAAGGCAGAACATATTTGTCAGCGATTAAACAGCATGCATTACGATTATCCAAACAGACACCTCTGAGTCTAAGTTTCAAAAGGGGAAACAAAATAAACTCTATAATGATGAAGATGATGTTATAACTTTACAAATGAGGAGCACACCTAGAGTTGTTGAGAGAGTCCGCTTGTTGCTGCTGCAGGTCTTTACACTTCTGCATTAGCTCTGTCCTTTGTGTGTGGGGTTTGGAGAAGGGGCGACGCAGAGTGAAGTGTTTCTGATTCCAAATAGAGTTGCAACTGTAATTATTATTAAAAATACGTTTTCATGTTTAAAATATTTCATCATTTAGAACCAAAAACACATCGCTCACTTCAGCGATGCGTCAATAAAATTGATAAATCTTGAACTTAATTTTCAAAGCGTTTAAAAAATATAGTTGTGATTTAAGTGTTGCAACCCTGGTTCAGAGTAGGCTGGGATATACTGCTCATCTCCTTGGCCAATGAGCTCTTGCTCAACAGTTCACACTCCATGGGCAGCAGATGGGGGTTGGGGTCCACGGCCGCTAACACGCTCTTCGTATCTTTAGCCACCTTTGAAATATAGTTTTAACTAAATACACAGGGAAGCCGGTTGCTGTGAAGTAGCAGAGAATGCTTGGACCATGATCAACATAGAGAAACTCGATTTTGTTTCGAAATCTACTGTTATTTTTTTAGTAAATAGCGTCTGATTGGTTTTCAAAAAATGCACATGAAATAAGTCGTAGATGGTAGTAGGTTACCTGTTCGAATGTAGGCATGTTGAGGAGTGCGTCTATTGGGATGTGTGAGTGGGTGAGGTACTGTTGGGTGCAGTGTGCCACTGTGCTCACCCATCCATCCTCATCCCCCATCCCCACCTCCACCACTCTCTCCAGCACACTCTTCAACTCACTCTTCTCCTGTTATAAATTCATATTCGAGTGTTAAGTAAAAATATTACTTTTCTTTTTGCATTAATACTTATTCACTCGAGAGAACATCAAAAGACATTGCTCCTTGTCGAGTGATGTCTCTGCTGAACGAACATACACCAACACTTGCTCAATGGTCCCTTTCTAATTATAGTCGCCTTCTGGCCTAGAAACATAAAACGATGCCCCCTTTGATCGTTTCTAGGGGGAAGGGGCAAAAACTTTATCGGGGCTGTATATCCCAGAGGGTGGCTGAAACTCACTGGAAGGCTTTAAATAACAAGAGGTTATATTTTGCTGTGGGGAGAGGGAGTTTTTTTGGCAGGCTAGCAGTACAAAAAATGTCCAGAAGCGACAGAGAAAGGCGGGGTCTGTCTTCTGTTCAGCGGCGGGTAGGGTTACCTGCCTGCAACTGTCGTTTTGGTATGAAGAGGAAACTCATGAGGAGTCTGTACTTGACAGGGGGAGATAGATTGGCAAACGCCTGAGACACAAAGCCCAGATTGTTCTGCACACTCAGCTGTGATGCCAGTTGTGATGAGCACCAGTTGGCATCTGAGGAACCCAGTTTATTGTGGAGCCACAGAGCCAACTCCTGTGCTGAAGACACCTTGTGCCCCCCACTCACTGGACCTCTTCCATTTCCCCACGCAGAAGAAGATGATAAGGACATCTCACAATTTCTTTAACCGGGTTTTGTCAATCAAATAAATCAAAACACTTTTCATCTGATCTGAAGAAAAGCAGACAAATTAGAAATAAGGAGCAATTTCTTCCACATCACATCGCTTGCATTCGAAGGTGGCAAATACTTAGGACAAAAAAATCACACGATTTTCCAAACTACTAGGAAGCTTACCAACATATTTCTCAACACAATGGTGTGACTAAGAACTTTGTAAAACCGAAGGACCTTCTTAAAAACCGAAATAATAAACAATAAAACATACAAATATAAAAGTATCGTAAAAAAAACATTTCTTTTGAGTCAGAGAGCTCTTTAAAATCGTATCACCCAGTTTATATCGTTTATCCCTGTTTGCAGCGAAATCAAAAAAAAAACTTTTTGCAAATGCGAAAAAAAAGCGGAGAGAAATATACACTTATTATATAACTATCGGGATCTTAGCAACTATAGCTGCTTCAAAACAAAGATTAATCGTTTATAACTAGAGGCCAGCTGAAGCTGAAAATACCTGTTTGATAATTTTTGAATTTTTTGCACTGATGTGGGATGAAATAGTTAATTTCAAAATTTTCGAGACATTAAAAAATTGAAAAAAAAAAAAAAAAAAAAAAACGGTCAAAAAAACATACTTTGACTTTTCCAAAAACGTAGCTTTCTTTTGCTGAAAAAATTTAAGCGTAGCCACTCATGCCGGAGAGCTTTCCAAAACCCATTCTACTCATTGATACCAAAACCACAGATTTAGGAGGGTAGATTTCGAGAAAAAGTCAAAACGTGTCGAAAATTTGACTTTTCCAAGGGTCATAACTTTTTGTGTAAAAAAATTGGGCGTAACCGCCTCTGCAGGGGAGCTCCCCGCAACACATTCTTCCGATTGAAACCAAAACTCCAGATTTGGGAGGGTAGTTTTTGAGAAAAGTTAGAAAGTTTCAAAAAAATGGTCAAAAAACTGACTTTTCCGAGGGTGATAACTATTTGTGTGAAAAAATTTGAAGCTTATGCAAGGTAGCTTTCAACAACCTGTTCTATCCGGTGAACCCAAAAATCTCAGATTTAGGAGGGTAGTTTGAGAATATGTCAAAAATCCAAAAATTTGGGTAAAAAATTCCCCCACACACTTTTTCGAAGGCTGTAGAAAGTGGAGTAGGGTAAAAAGAGAGTAGCGGATGCTGCAATCACACAGGGGATTGGGAGGATTTCGCAATGCTGCCACTTTTTTGAAAAACGGTAGAGTAACTTTTGAGATCAACTAAATTTGAAAACAGACTAAAAAGTGTTCGAAAATGGAGTTAAGTGACTTCCACATTTAGTTTGCAATTTATTTCCATTTGAAGTTTAAAATTTATCACTTATACTTTTTTGTATAATTTGATAATTTTATTTCAAATTACGCCTTCCTCATTGACTGCTTTTCACTGAAAGGTAAATGAAATCACTGTGATGCTTTTTAACTTACAGGTCACAAAAAAAAGGAAGGAACGGTGGCGTAGGATAAGTTATAAAGGCTGTTCTAAAAACGTCGAAAAAAGCTCGTACGGGTTTTTAGCGTGGTATCATAATATAACCATTTCAGTCATGATATTTATTTTAAAAAGACATTTCAAAAACTATTTCTCACTGTCGAGTAAAACTGGTCTAAAGTTTTCCAGACGAATTTACCCATATGTTCGAGCTTTCTTAAATGCTAATCAAAATTTCCAGGTGTCGCAATTGTATAATTTATGCATTTCAAAAATGTTTTATAATATTTGGATTAACTTTTTATAAATCATCTTATAAATATTTTGATATGCAAAGGGATTGTAATTTCTTGTTGTATTTGTAAAAGCTTTTTTCAAGCAAAAATTTTTGTTAGCCCTTTGCTTTTTGTCCAAAACGCTAGTTTGCAAAAAAACTTAACGTCTAAATTCCGTTTTATTGGAGCCGTCTAGATTGCTTGTCGTCTTATTTCCTAAACCCCGATTTTTATAGCTTGTAAACTAATTAAATCCCCTCTGACTAACGAAATATAGTAAAAATGAAGGTGATTATTTTTTAGCGGTACAATGATTTAGGTATTTGTTTGTGGAATCCAAAACAGCATAGAAGATCAAAGAAAAGTAGCAATGTTGCGGATTCCGCGACAAATCTGATTTTGGCCAGTTGCGGATTCCGCATACAATGCAGAGAATGCACAGTTTGGCGTCGTAATACAACCGAAGAAAATACACGGAGAGAACGGATAATAACCTACTGGAAGCGCTTGGTCCGAGAGGCGAGAGAAGATGAAACCAACTTAGAACAAGCGACCAAGTACAAGAATAAATCCTGGAAGCTGTTTCCAATATTGAAAAGAGAAGATGAGGCTCATCAGAAAAAGAGGCATGAAGCGCATTAGAGCACAGGCACCTAAATCCGAAGAGTCGATCTTTAGGTAGAGGTGGGAATGTTGCAAAAGGTTTTGCAAGACGGCCTCGCGATGAGTAAAACAAAAAAAAGCACACAGGGTCAAAGATATGAAGTTCACATGCATCAAGTGTATCAACAGCTCCAGAGAAAAAAGCCAGTTGACAAACCACGTGAAAGCTTGCTTCAGTCGTCAGAAACCTAAGGTGGAACACCCAGGTGCGGAAAAATGAGTGGAAGAATAGTCTGAAAAAAGCAGCAAAACAACTGCCACAGAAATAAAAGAATCAGAAAACAAGTGTCATGAAAAGGACCCAATGTAACAAAAACTATAACGTTTCCTTAGCTTAAAAAAGACTTTCGAATTGGCTCAATACGCTACCACGCACAACTTCAACTTGAAGAAATTGTAGTGAGAGATGGGATGGACTTGAGCTATGGATTGATGGAACCAGTCAACACTCACACTACAAGTGCGTGCGGAGCTCCATTCAACATAATCATTGCTGTGCATTGCGCTAAATGCACCCGCATAGACAACAAATTACGATTTTATGGCAAATCAGATACAAAATCAGATACTATATGGGGGTTGTCGAGGTCCGCTTTGACGTTGAAATTGCACCTAAATTCAGTCGTAGCAAGGAGAAAACTTTATCAATAATCGACTGCTACTGATAATCAGGCGAAACTAGATATCAAAGCCAATCGATTTTCAGGCTCGAGAATTTGCCGCTTTTTCTTTGGTGCGAAAAAGTTCAATTCTCGCGCCATAACCGTTTGAAGAATACTCCAAAGAATAACAGAGAACTTAAGGTATGAAGCAATATGGTGGCGTCCCTCATGCTTGAAGGACCGAATGCTTTAAATTTACTTTAGCTAAGCCACTGAGATTGAAGTGAGCTTTGCGCCGATTCCCAAACAAAACTTGTCGCCTTTACAAAAATTAAGAAGATAAACTGTCCAATACGAAAAAAGAAAAACCGAAATGAATTCTATTGAAGAAATTGCGGTTCAAAAATCAAGATAATTATTTTGCAATACTCATAAAATCAATAAATTAACACATGAGGATTTGATTTTAGCAAAGTCCATTCATATCTTTCATAACTCATAGATGAAAATGAAAAGAAAAAACTGATGTTTTGGTGAAAAAAGAAAAATTTCCGACATTTGCCTAGAAACTGCATGTCCATCAAAAAAAATTGGGGGGGGGGGGGGGGGGGGGGACAAAAAGCTCAACTTCAAAAAACCAAAGACTTCAAGAACACTGTGAACTAAAACTCCAGCCATTGCTCGCTACAAACGTAAAGTAAAAACAAAAGGATAAATTTAAATTTGAGTCAAAATTTGCAAATTTTTTTTTTAGTATTTGGGACATAAAAACAGAAAGCTTGTGCCATCACATTGAAATGATATAAAATGAAATTATTTCAACGTAGTTAAAGACGCTAAGCTGCTTATAACTAATTACATGCACGTTCAGAACAACAAAAAAGTTAGAACAAAAAAGCAGAAAATCTTTTTAAAAATTTAATCTTTTTTAATAGAATGTTTTAGAGCGAATAAAAACAAAAAACCAAATATCTATATTAAATAACCCATGAAAATGAATTTTAAAAAAATTTCAACAAAAAACGTATATGAAATAACCGTTGAATAAAATAAAATACTCTACATTTAAGCGGACACAAATTGCGACGAAATGCAAAGGTCCGACAAAACAAAAATTTGCTCCGACCATTTGAAAAATGGGGAGCAACTTTGTATTCGGGTGTGTTTTAGTTTTCTTTTTTGTTTTCCACGCATAATTAGCTACCACAAATAATCATTCATCGGAGAGAGCTAAGTATTATATCATATTGCAGCCCTTCAGTCGTAATTCGAACGACTGAAAAAATTTTTAATTTTCCCAGCGTCGAGAAAAACCGGTTTGAAATTTTTGATCTTTCGTCTAATTTCGAGCGAGAAAATGTTTTGAATCGGAAAATTTTTTCAGCCGTAGACCCAATATCCCTTCATTACCTCCAGACCCAGAACTACGGCTGTTTAAAAGCAGAATAGCTTAAACTGGATATCCTTGAATTGGAAATCTTGTGAACTAAAGAAAAACAGTGAACAGTCTTGTAGCCGATTGCAATATTGTTTGTCGCCAAGGTTAACAAAAAAATTTTCGGACAATTTTTAAAGTTTGTTTCTAAATTTCAGAATTCAAAACAAAAAGAACGTTCGTAACACTTTATCCTACGTGCACAGCAACTAGCTAGCCTTGTTCCTCATTTAAAAACTCATTTTAAATAACATAGCCAACAGAAAGAGCCAAGCACACAACTGTCAATGAATTCAAGGAAACCGACTTGTTTCGTCATAGATTTTTCTATTCGAATTTCTAAAACATAGCCAAATGACAGTTGGAAAAGAGTAATAAACGCAAAGAAACAAAAGTTGACTTGTTTTTTCAAAAATATTCATCTTTTCAATTTCGAATAAAAAATAGATGGCCTTAAAGCTCTTTGAATTTGTAGAACAACTTATGATGGACACTTTTTTGTTGAAATTAACCCAATTTGAGAAAAATGGATTGATAGGAAAAACTTTTATTTCACTGGAAAATCTGATAATTAATTTCCACTTTCCAAATTAGAAGTCGATCACGTTTTTCATGACCTTTACATTTTTTCTGTTCGTTAGTGGAGTTTGTCTTCCTTTTTAAAAATGGAAATGCACTGAACTTCAAAAGAAATCACAAGTCAAACCGCGAAAAATCAAAATTGAGCGTGAACAAATTTCAAGACTTTTTCTTGAAAAAAAATCAGCAAGACCTTTATAAGAGTATTCACTACGTTCATTACTCTTTAAAAAATCCATCAAATTTGAACTAGTACAATTAAGAGAACATTTCACGATCGACATCTTAGTCAAATTAAGCCATTAGAGATAAGTGGGCCGATATTTAGTTTTTTTTTGCTGGGAAAACTATACGACTTTCGAAACTAAAAAAATCATTCACACTTTTCTCGCGTTATTTGCACTTTTGTCACTGGACAGCAAGCAGTGAGTGTAAAATGCCAAGCAGTGAGTGTAAAATGTTCAAAACAAATCAAGAAATCAAACCAAAAAAGAGCGATTGAACTTTTACTGAAAAAACCTGAATGTGTCTTCACTTAAACAAAAGAAAACAAAATACACTACCTATATGAGTGTCTGCAATTCACAAAAAAAACCCAAAACTTGAATGAGTGAACATTGCCAGCAGACAGTTGGAAAAGTGTCAATGAACGCAATGAAACTTGTTTTTGAAAACTTTTTCGAATTTCGTTTTTGAAAATATTTTCGAATTTCAAAAATGATGGCCTTAAAACTCTTGGAATTTCAAGAACAATCAATGATTGACACTTTTTGATAAATTAACTCAATTTGAGAAAACTGGATCAATGGGCAAAGTTATTCTTCCGCTGGGAAATCTGAAAATTGACAAGCACTTTCGAAATAAGTAGTACATAGCGTTTTTTGAGTTTTCCACTTTTGCTGCTCGATAGTGTAAACTGCCTTGCTTTTAACAAAAGAAATTAACTGAACCCAAAAGATATCAGAAGTCAAGCTGCAAAAAATCAAATAGGCGTGAACACATTTAGAACTTTTGCTGAAAAAAAAAACCATCAAGACCTACATAATGTCTTCACTATGTTCATCGACTCTCAAAAAATGACTTCATTGATTAACACTTGACTCGACTTATTTTGAAAAGCGAATTCGATTTATTTTTTGAGCCAAACTGACAAAAAAATTATTGAGCATGAATGAAGTGAAAGAGTTTGATGGAAAAACAACGACCAAATAAAAAAATTCTCTTTCTTAAGAAACATTAAGCAACGCAATAACATAATCTTACGCTTTCCATATTTAAATCTGGTTGTCAACTAATAAAGGAATTCAAAAGGAAATAACCTAGTTTGAACAACTTCTTGCTTCATGCAAAAAGTTGTCGTCCTAATTATCCATTTTTTCCAGAAGTTCATGAAGCCAGATTGTAAGGCGACAACTTTTGCTGTTAAATCAGAATTTAATCTCAGCTAACACGGTAAAACTTTAGTTAGTAAAAAATCAATTCACAAATTTCACTTCATTAATATTCGGTCAAGTATGTAGAACAATTAACATTCGCATTTTCGAATATATACTAATAACTGTTTTTCTCAAAAAAATTATATGTCTATATGCATTTATACTCTGATTGATCTATTTGTTCCAAAAAGGCCTTCTGGGTATGAGAAGAGTATCGGACAGTATCTGTAGTGGAACATCTGGCTCATGGTCCACTCTCAACATCGCCAGTCCTTTAGTTCCCAGAGAGCACACCAGATTACCCATTTTCACCCCACCCTCTCCGTCCCCTTCACCCCTGGTGAATATAGGCAAATTCAAGTGGGAGGGCCCCCCTGCAGCACTACCCTCACTTTGCTCGATTTGGTCTCCCCCTTCTGTTGAGCTAAGTGAGGTGGTTGTTGGGGATGGAATGGGTTTGGATAGTTCAACTGGAAACACTCTGCGTCGTATCACTCCAGTATGATGTGTTCTTGCCGTCAATTCCTACGAATAATAACAAAAAACTCAATTTCATTAACTTATCCACTGACAATAACATTGACTTTGTTTTGTATACATTTTTAAATTTTCAAATTGCAGAAAAAAATCACATTACATTAGAGCAAAGAGAATTTCGAGGATTTTTCACAATTGCGAATAAAATTATTTAGATTGAATTATTGAAGTGGCCCTCTGGAAATAATTAGATAGTATTTGAAAGTTTCAAAAAAATGACAACTAATTTAATTTTGATGGCTGAGCGAATGAACGAGTGTTTTTCCGACTCTCTACTTCTGAGATGTTATTTAGTGGAGACGAAAATCTGTCGTGTACAAAGCGATCATAATTGAGAGACGAAGCAAGAATAAAAACATACCAAAGAAAACAAATCACAAAAGAATTAGAAGTGCCAAACCATGCTAAGGCACAGCAAAATATTTGAGACCGATGATATCACCGCATTCTTGCTTTGTTATTCAGTATGTTTAGCATAATAACAAGCAACTATAAAAAAAAAGAAGTACACTCGAAGATTCGGAGCTGATGACATTCAGAGTACCCTTCACTGCTTTTCAAAGCCTCTCACCCCAATCATTTGATTCTGTGCCGTAATGTAAACACCATCTTGTATATTTATGACCAATTATTCGTATAAATTATTTACTCAATGCAGTAAAACAAACCGTGTAATTGTTTAGTACATTTTTTCTTTCTATCAAATTTCTCTGCATTCAAGTTTTTATCCAAATTCTTTTTATTCTGATTTTATCTTAACCTCTCAACTTCCACAATTCGGAGATCTATGAATTAAGTAGCAATAAACCATCTCATATTCGTATGCGCTGGTTATAAGTTGAGTAACAATTCAGTCTAAAGGGACACCATTGTTGCACAGCTATGGCAGTGTCCAGCACTGAGCAGTCGGAGGCCACTCGGATCCAGAAGCTGGAAAAATTCCTCAACCGGGAACTCAGGGGCAGTACTCTCACTAATTACACACTCAAAGCAGACATCAGAGCTCATCGCAAGGCAGAGAAAATCAACAAGGTTAGTGCAATCAGATCTCTTCATCTTTTTCTTCTTGCTGGGGTAGGCGCTAGTGGGGCATATGGCCCTGTTGTCTATCCTCTGCCAGTCTCGTTCTAATGACTACTAACGACCAATTGCTCAATTTATGTTATGAGTGACCAGAGAACTTTATTCTTTCTTTGTTCTTTCTTTCTTCTTTCTTCGCTTCTTCTTTCAGGAGGTCTTTCTTGTGCTTTGCGCGAATATTGAACGTCTCATCCGTCGTAGGTAGGTAAAAAAAAATTCCGGGGTTCCTGAATAGCCAGTTTTTCGGTATCGTTCGCGTTTCCTGTGAGTTCTTGTCTGAAGCTATCTCCTCTTTGGCCCTGGAATATGTGATTGACGATTTCTATTTCGCCGCAATCGAGACGACTTGGATCGTCAATAATGCCGGATCTCGCAAGATCTCTTTGGCCATCGATGAGTGTCCTGTGCGTAGTTGGTACCAGGTTAAATCTTCAAATGTGTTCTTCAGTCAGCTAATCCTACCCCCGCTTATTGCAAAGGGGTAGTAAAAGAGATTCAAGATCCGTAATTGCTCAACATTGAGTTATTTCTTTTGGGATGATTATTCTTTACAAGCGTAACTAGGTACTATGTGAGAGGGGTAGTTAAAAAATTCGATAAATCTGTCCTGAAAAAAAGTGGATATCTCATACCAGAAGGACTGAAACACGCTAGAACATTAGTTCGCCAATTAAATTTCAGTATTCAAAAATTGCCAGTTTGTCAGATTGAAAAAAAGTCAGTTTGATTGGCTTAAAGAACTTTGATTTGTTGAACTTTTCAACAAAAAATCAAGAACGTTGAATTGTTGAAAAGTTCAGGTTTGTGTTCATAGGATTTAACATTTTTGAAAGTTGTTAACTGTTTTCAAAACTCATTTATATTGACTTTTTTCGATTGAGTTTTAATTCCGAATTGAGATTTGTGAAACATTTCACTTCAGGTGGACATATTGTCAAGCAAGATGTTCGACAAGAAAATCCTGAATGAGTACAAACTCGCCCGACTGCACATAGAAACAGACCAGATGCGATATGCTCGCAAGCTTCACACATTCAAGGTACACATACATGCAGCTCAACCAGAATTATTTGGAAAAGTGGTCAAAAAGCATGATAGGTTAAAACCATGGATAAACAAACCATGAAAGATGGGTCCCATTGAGCAAGCCTTCGTAAAAGCACAAAATTGGAGCGCCAAAATGTTCACTTTTTATCACTGACAAAACAAGTGCGTTCCCTACATTACCCAAAGTGTCTTAAATTGTGGCTTCAATATTCGACAGATTGCCCAGATGAAGGCAATGCAGGAGACTTCTAGTCGAGTGAATACTGCACCTGGTCTACCTAACACTAGAAGGGGAGGAGGCGCCATGGGAGGAGGGGGAGATGGCACTGCACGCACATGGACTTCAGGTTATGCACGAAATTGGTTTTAAACTATTTTACAGTTATTGTCAAATTGTTGGCAAAACCTCTGAATTTGGGATCTGCAATCGCGGGATCAGAAGAGAGAAAATTTTCGGTAACAGCTATTTCTTGGCATTCAATAACGTCTTCAAATTTGTAAAATATTGGTTTGCAACGTCAAGTGCGCAATTTTATGAATCCTTGAATAAGACTTAGAAGATGCAAGGCATTTTGGTCATAATTATTGTTTGCATTTAGGTCATATTTTTAAGCTGCTTCCTAAATTTCAAACGTGCAGAATAATAAAAAAGCAGAAAAAAAAACTTCATAATTTAAAAAAGGCATCATCTGAAAGCCTTTTAAATTTGAGGAAAATAAATCCAAAGACCAATAAATCCTAAGGACTTTTAAGGTCAATAAATCCAAATCGAGAATACGATCAATGCGTAAATTTTTAACTCCCCTGGGAAATCTAATCTAAAATAAATATCCACTTTTGAAACTAAAAGCCTCTACAAAATCAACAATCAAGCCACTAAAATACAAATTTCAAAATTTTAACAGATTTTAAGGCTCTTAACTGATAATAAAAAAAATTATAAAAAAAACACCTAAAAAATAGAACAATCACTAAGTTGAAATAAACAGCAAATATATATTTTTTGCTAAAATTGAAGATCCTGTAGTTTGCCAAGAATTAACTTACTATCTTAAATGAAGCTTGTGTCAAACTCTATTATAACTGTGCCACAGTTTTTTTTTGATTCAGTGCACTGAATCAGAAAAATACACCGCTAGAAATACATTATGTACAAAAGAAGGCTGCGAAAGCGCTGCGAGAAACCTTTCTGATAGTACCAAAAAACAGTATGCAAGATTTGTGTACAACAAAAAGTTGAATGTTCTTCGTGTTGTAGGCAGCAAGAAGATCAACAATGCAGATCTGAGAAACATAATTCGGTCTAGCACAAATGTAAGTTCGGCAAAACTTCGAGTACCACATGACGAGGAAGATGGAGAAAACCGAGCAAAAACTGCAGCTGCCGCATTCGCCAACAGGTACGCACACCACACAACGAAGACTTGACTCTAATATAAAAGAAAACCTATAAACTTCTTTTTGATTTTTGTTTCTGAAAAAGTTGATATTTTTCTATATTTGTTACTGTTACTCAAAAATGCCAGAGAAAAAAAATTCCAGCAAATTTCTTGTTGTTTGAATAAAAAATATAACATGAATCAACTGTAAGTGACAACAGACAAGTAATTCAAGGGGCCTAGGAAATTAGACGATAAGCAAATTAGAGGGATACTACAAAAACGAAATTAGACGGAATTTATTTTTTACAGATCTGGCATTTTAGACGAAAAAGCTATGAAAAGGAAAGGGCCAACAAAATTTTTTCTTAAGAGTCAAGTTTCACAAATACAAAAAGATCATAAAATGTCAATACCTATCAAAACAATTAGTTCAAATGAACATAAAATGTCAAATCTGAATATTACAGGAGAGTTTTGAATTGAATAAATTATGCATGATTGACTTGTAAAGTTTTTGGCCACCGAAATTGAACTGTTGTCTACAAACAATTTTATTTTTCTAATGCAATTTGTGTGCAAACAAAGTTCATTTCTCTCATTTTCGTCTATTTTCTCACAATTGCAGTTTTGCAAAACCGTCTAATTTCCTTTTAAGTACCTCCGTCTAATTTGCTTATCGTCTAATTTATCAACCCCCGTAATTCAATACTGGCAGATAAAAAACCTCGACCAAAACCTGTACTAAGACGCCGCTTGTATTTGATGTTTTTTATTTACAATCAATATAATGTAGTGAATCCCTTTCAGTTGTAATTCGGATAACAAAGTGATATTTCAAAAAATTCGAGAATCGAGAAAAACTGGTCTTATTTTTGTTGCCACTCAGAATTAAATCTGAAATGAAATTTAACTTAAAAGATGTAACCAGAAAAACTATTCAGTAGCAAGTACTCGTACTCATTTTACAATTCTTCGTACTCATTTTTACTAACTTCGAAGATTTAAACCATTAAATCTTGTTAGATATTATACGATGCCAATGAAATGATTGTCCATAAAATCACCTGTCCAAAATACTCTTGTCCATAAAATCACCTGAGCCTTATACCTGTGCGATAGTGTATTATATCTGTACAAACAGTTTTTGACACAGAGGCGAAGAGGAGCTTAGCGCCACTACCGATACCACACAGACATACCAAAGCAAGCTAGCAGAGAAAGAATGAAACAAAGCCACTAAGTCGAAAAAAAACCTATCGAGAAAACCATAACTTCAAAAATTTCAGAAATTTGTCTGAAATGATGTTCAGTTTGACAAAAACACGTACACAAACACAATAATTGGCGTTTAACACGTATAAATAAACGAATAAGCCGACCAAACACAAGCAAACCCACAACATGTCGACAATTTTTGAAACGGAAAATTTCCTTTTTGAGTAACAAAAAACAGATTCTGGCAAGATTCGAACACAGAACATTTACCACCTCAGGCTTAGTACTTTTCTCAAAAAGCATGAGTGCTGAAAAGCTAAGATAGTAAAATTTGATTCAAGCCAAGCTATCATACGCTTTATTTATTTTGTAAAACAAGAAAATTCCGTGATGCGGCATACTTAGCCGACAAAACACGATCAGACAAACGGATAGGCCAAAAATTTCTTTGAAACTGAAAACTTTGACTTAAAAGATAGACCTACCTGGATTCGTCCCAGGCGTAGTTGTTACCTCTATGCCAGGTTTGCCGGAAGCCAAAAAAGGTCTTGTTTGCCGGAAAGCCAGGTTTGCCATTAACCCGAAAAAGGTCTATTTTACAGTATTCCGCTAATCGCAAGCGTAATACATTGTAATGAACTTTATGATCGGTTAGGTCGACTGCAAGACACCTCCTCAATTCACAGGACATGTTCATAGCCAAACTGTCCACTTTGCTCAAACCAGCAGAACAGGAGGTGAAGAGTAAACGCGTTAAAGAAGAGCCTGTGGAAGTGGTGGTGGAACTAACGCCACAGCAGAAAAGGAACAGATCTATCGTTAGACTGCCAACCATAGCTCTGGACGGGGGAACCGCAGCCAGGGAGTTCCAAAAGTATGACATCACTTCTCTCTTGTCCAAATTCACTCTAGACCTCAATACAAAACCCTTCCTCGCCATAGTTGAGACAAAAGATCAAAATATATATGAACATATAGATCCTTCTGGGAAAAATAAAGCTTAAAGTCTGCTGAAAGGTGACAATTAAGCGAAAAAAATGTTTTTAAATATTGAACAGTTTCTAGTTTTGTTGAGAATAAAGAAAATCAAATCGCTGCCCAAAAAAAAAATCATTTTTTTTGTCAAATCTACTGCAAGCAAATTCTCTGTCCCCGTGTGAAAATACCTCAAGCAAAAACACTGAGCTATTTTGACCTTTTTGAATTTTAAAAAAATAACGATTAAATCAAACTTATTTTCTAACAAATTTTTGCGTTTTCTCAGCTGCTTAATTACCGAAGCCCGCGACCCCCTTCCCAACAATACATAAATTCAGACCCCCTGATAATTAAGCACATGAGAGTATGTACTTGTCAGGACGTGATGTTCCTCAATTGAAAAGCAAAGGGCGCAGTATTTGGAAAGCACAAAAAGCACCGTATTTCGAAACCCGAACGAACAGTCATAATATGATCCTATTGAAAATGCACCGAATATATACCATTTTAAGCAGTATGCACCACCATTATATATCAAGTATTTCCTTTTAGCTGTAGAACAGAAGATTGTTTATTATTTTGAAGCAGTCACTATAAACCAACAGAATAAGAGCGCAAATAGAACCCCAATAAGATAACTTAGAGGCTATTATGGTACTTGTGTAGGTATCCGGATGCGCCTGAAGAGTTTGTGATGCGAAGAGACAACCTCCTCAAGGAGAGTGACAAGGAAGACACGATGTACGCGTGGCTGGGGTTCGACTCTCAAGAGCAGATGAACAAACGTAGAGGACTGGACAAGTTCAAGTTAATGGCCAAGAGAGTCACAATCAGAGCAACACCTCGTACAATGGAACAAATAGGAGAATGATACAAGGCCCTCCAATAAACACATTTGCTTTATTGACTGATCTTCAGTTTAAATGATTTTATGTAGTCGGTAGATGGCAATTAATTAAAAACTTTCAGGAAAAATTAAAAAAAAACATATAATTTAGACACTGACGCGAAGCAATTGAATACAATGAGTTAAATACTAATTTACACAGAGGTGAAACCGAGCTTTTCACAACTTGCGGAAGCCGAGCTTCTCAACAGAAAAAAAAAGACAAAAGCCACAGTCGAATTTTTGAAGAAAACAAGATCGACCAATATTTTATACATTTCACTCAAATTTTCTTGGATAAAGTTCATTTAGAAAAAGCGGTACCAAAGCAGACACCCGTTGCGTCGAAAAAAAATTTTTTTTTTCATAAAAAACTAAGATTTTAGTTGTTCCTCAAAACATACACAGATTTTGAATGTCCCTCAAGAAAAAAAATACGCCTCATGCTACACTAACGCCACTGAATTTCATCAAATTGCTCCTTGAGAAGCAGTGGAATTGATTTAAAATTTGCAGAAAAATACCAATAAAAATAATTCGTGTTCGTTATAATAAAAATTGTAATTGTGCGTCTGAAAATACACGAAAATAGTAAAACCGAAAAAAATGGTATTAACTTCGGACCCCCCTCCCCAGGGATTCGATCTTCTCGCCAAACAAAGCGTCCTCCCTTCGTATTATTTTATGAAATCCGTTTTAGCTATATCAATCCACTTTTGGCTAGCTAAGTTTGATTGAAGCAAAAAATTGAACGAATTCAAACTGATGCGGAAACTTTTTTCGATCTCACTTTGAATTCTTTTTAGAATGGCTTTAACTTAAAAAAAAAACACCAAACTTAGTTAAAGGCGTTTTTCGGAAAGCAAAAACAGATTATTCGAAAAACTTTTTTGGGTTTTCAAAAATTAAAATAGCACGAACAACAACTGAAAGCTCTTTTGAATAACACAAATAAACTTGAAACTTCGGAAGCTTTTTTCAAAGGATCTAATGAGTCAGAAATTTCCTTAAGAAAAAAATAATAAAACCGCTGCATATTCTTTTTTTAATTTAGTTGGAAAGTTTGGAAAATAAAACAAACCGGAATTTGGAGACAACAATTTTTCAACTAAAATAAGACTTTTTTTATTGATAAAAATAGCTACAACCTTATTTAGAAAAAAGTAAAAGAAGCTAGAATCCGGAGAAAGCGTTTTAAATAAAAAAAGGAAAAAAGCTCTTAAAAAATTCAGTAGCAAGACTTTTGTAGAAAGAAAGTGAGAATGCGTAAAACTTCAACATGTAGAGATAGTGTGTATATATGAAAAAAGTAAACACGGCATCAACATGGGACAAAAGGAAGCGCTCTACTAAAAAAAAGCTCGCTTTTTGAGGAAAAATTTAACACAGAGGCGAAGCGCCACTTGCGCCACTTGCGATGCAACAGAAAACATGAAAAAAAATAGATAAAAACAATTACGGGCCCAGTTACTGCTGCAGGTACGTGTTTGATATTGAATGAATTTGCTATACTGATGCGGCACGAAAAGTGTGATTTCATAAATTGGACTTTACCTAAAACATTAGTTGTTTCTCTACTAAAATAAGTGAGAAGAGTAAAAAGTTTTGAAATAAACAGTTTTGCCAAGGAGATAATTTCTCATACAAGGAATTAAAGCATCTCCGCTTCTGCAGATACAATTATCGCAACCCGTTCTTTCATTGGAACTTTTCATTTAAGATTTGATTGACAAAATTTTAAAAAAATTCAAAAAATTACTAAAAAACGGTCAAATTCTAAAAACGTTATTCTGCAAAGAGCAGGTTATGGCCGTTGAAGTAGAGAAGATTTCCACCAAAATTGGGTTTATCGATTGAACAAAACCTGAATTGGCCCGGTAGTTTTCGCGTGAAGTCAATAAAATTCAAAAAACTTTTTCCTTGAACATACTGGGCATAGCCAATTATAAAAGTTAGCTTTCAACAACCTATTCAATCATTTAAAACTATGATACCTGATTTGGCAGGGTAGTTAGCGAGAAAAATCCAAAAAAGGGTCAAAATCAAAAATTTTACTTTTGCGAGTGCCAACACTTGTGGAGTCAAAACAATTTAGGCGTAGTCGCATAAGCAAATGAGCTTCTGAACCCATTTTCAGATTTTACCCCAAAATCTCAGTTATAACTGTAGTTTTGGAGAATATTCAAAAAGTTTAAGAACGGTCAAAAATCCAAAAATTGACTTTTCAGAGGGCGATAACTTCTTGTGTAAAATTTTAGTTAGTGCCAGCTAATGCAGAGGAGCTTCCCACTACACCGCTATCTCATTGAACCCACAACATCAGATTTGAGAGGCTAGTTTTCGAGAAAATATCCACAGAACGGACAAAAATAAAAAATTTGACTATTCGGAGGGGCATAAATTTATGTGCAAAAACATTTGATCGTGGCCACTTATGCAGGGGAGCGTTTCGAAACAGTTCAACTCATTGAAACCAAAAATCTATATTTGAGGAGTAGTTTTCGAGAAAATGAAAATAAAGTAAAAAAAAAATATGGTTCAAATATTCCCCACGCTTTTCCGAAGGCTGTAGACAGAGGGGTCAAGAAAAACATTACTCTAGGGGACTACACAAGCACACACAAAAACATGACTCTAGGGGAGTACACAAGCACACACCCTTTTTTTGAAAACCAAGAAAAGTTTCTGAGACAATAAAACTTTTGCAAGAAGTGAAAAAATTTTCCATAACGAAACAAAAGAAATTTCAACAAACTGATTGGTAAAATATAAGAAAAACTTGAAAAGTGCGGAGGGGAGTGCTAACATTGTGTTTCTCTTGAAACGGCCCAAAATTAAGTCATTAAACCGATGCAAAATAGGCCGAAATAATTTAGGCCGAGGATTTTGTTCAGCGAAAGAAAAAACAAAGGAAAGTTAAGTAAAACTTCAAAATGTAGGCGTAAATCAAACACTAAAAAAACATTAACGAATAATGCGCGCAAAAAAAAATAATAATTCAGAGATGTGACAACTAAGCCGACAACAGATCAGCAGACAAATAATTGGCCGACGATTTTATTTGAAACAAAATAATTCCTGTTAGGAAAAAAAACAGGTCCTGCTCAGATTCGAACCCAGGACCATTGCCATGCCAGGCATGTTCGTTACCTCCAGGCTAAGTTACTTTCCAGCCAAAAGTCCTCTATTAAACTAAAGTTGACTCGAAAACTTGCTAGTCGTAGGCCCTCGTAGCCTGTATATTTAATTTTCTGAAACTTGTTCACTTTAGGGTTACTGCTTCTACTAACTGTCTCAAGTCCCTATAAGCCCTTAAACTTAAACTTCAATAACACACGCTAAGCGGAATGGAGGCTTATCAGGCGAACAAACAACTGAGCCCATGCAGCAGCCAGTGAACAAGTTCAAGAGGGGCTTCAGCTTCCAAAACAAAAACTGAAGCCCAAAATCAATAATAGTATTAACAAAACGTACAGCCAATAAGGGAGATCAGTTTCAAAAAATATCGCCAAGCATCGACAAAAGAATTAGTTCAGATAGCCCGGATTTGAGTATTAGAAAAATATCTATTAAAAAGAAAAAAACAGCAAATCATGTAAAACAAAGAAGCATGCTTAAAAGAGAATGCGATTAGGCAGAAAACCGATGCTAGAAAAAAATGCGCAGGTTGGCAGTAGCGCTTTGACCTTTTTTCACAGCGTAGCTATGTAAAAAAAGACAGTAGCTACAAGTAGAGATAGCGTATATCTCTTAAATATACACACTTGGCTTAAATGTGGCGGAAATGTCTCGCTCACCTAAATAACATAAAGATATAGAAAAATAGGAAATTGGCTTCGCTTGGTTTATACCCCCCTCAAATTGTGATCTGGCCATTATAGTTGACGCACCTGTCCTAAGTAGCATCCCTTCGAGAATGATACTCCATTCATGAGGTCCACGTTGTAGTTCAGAGGCAATGCTTTGTTCCGCACTATCTCCCCTGGCCCCTCCGCAATACCCAGTTCGTACCTTTTCTCCGTATACAAGTCAACACTAGACGCGCCTGTATCTATAGTTGAACTGATGGAATCATCGGAGTGATCGAATACCACAAGTCTCTTCAGACCCTCTTTTGGTGCTCTTGGATCTTCACTTAGAGTAAAATCATTTCGTTGATCATTCAATATAGTACTCAAATCACAACTGAACGAGTTTTCAATGACTCCATATACAGACGAACTTTCCAAGTTTATCTCAGCCTATAACGCACACCACATAGTTGCTTAACACCTTTTCCTCGTTTCCATCAACATTCGATTTTTTTTGTTTACACAACTTAACAGCTTTTTTGGATGTAGTCGAAACTACTATAATTATTTTCAACTTGAATAACAATATTAATACGGATAGTTGTACTCTCATAACTATTTCGATCGAGTGCAATGATTCACACTTGTCATAAGCTGAACTCCAACTCTAGTCTACACTAGTCTGCCGATTTTTTTTGCAGAGAAAACATCGATATCCAAAAGATATTTCACTTAATGCTAAACCTCCTAAAATCTCGCTAACTATATCTTTGACTCTTTGTTAGCAACTATGTGCCCTTTTTCCTCATTCGATATTTCTTCAAATGGGCTAACATCGGATTGATCTCACTAATATGGCATTCCAGATACAGATTCATCTCGTTTGATTCATTACTCGAATAAAGAATGGTATCAAAAATAACTCGTCCATTCAGAGAAAGGAACATTCCGTAAATGGATGATGGAAAATCTTTTCGAGCTGGCCACAGTGCATCAACATTATTAGTCAACAAACTCTGTATGAGAGCAAACGAATCTTTTCCTCGTACACTAATTAATTTCACCGGCAACTTACACACCGTTGAATTTAAGAGCAAGTTCTTCAATTTCATTGCTGTGCTGATTTGAATTTTTTCATTTTTCTCAGTCAATCTGAAAGTGAACGATTCGTTTTTTTTGAGGTGCAACATTAGATAACCAACCAATAACTCAATAACTACACTGCAATCAATAATAAATGACTAGCGTGTAACGCACCTCCGGTGATTCGACAGCTCATATATTGGAAATAAGATCTGCATCCTACGAGTGTACTCTGACAGCACACAATTACAGGATTGGTAACTCCAAATTTTGTACTGTTTTTTATAAGTCATTTTTTCATACAAATTTCACAAAACCATGACATTTTATGACAACATGTTTGTCACTTTTTTCAGATCTTCGATCGTACTGTGAGTATTGTACAAAAATTTCATCCTGATGATGCACAAAATGTGCCAAAACGTTTGAAATAACATTTTAAAATTCTTATATATCTAAGTTATTTGAAAAAATTTAAAATGGCATAGAAGTGTCATACACTACTGGGCAAAATTAAACCCAAATTTGGGTTAATACTCTCTAAACAGCCTAATTAAAGGGCCATTCAGGACAATATTTACTTTGAATTTTAACAAAATTTTTGCATCAACTGGAAGCAAATGATCTGAACTATCGTCTCCGAAAGTGTCAATTCTTAATTGAAAAAATTTACCCGTTTCTTTCTAGTCTGAAAATGCCATTTTAACCGTCTCTGCTAGATTTGTATCGTAGTGAACTATTTCTGGAATAAACGGAGTAAAAAAAAGTGTTCATTCGACAAGAAACAATATCCTCAAGAACATTGCAATTATCAGAGACAACTTTCCTAAACTCATGTATTTCACAATTTCACGAGTTCTGACAAAATTAGTGCGGATGAAAAAACTGACTTTTTCAGAATGGGAAAAAACTGCTAAGTGCTAAAAATTAAAAATAGAGAATTTCAAAGACGGTGGTTCAGATCATTCGCTTTCGGTCGACACAAGAGCTTTTATAACATTCGACAACAATGACCCCGAAAATGTACGCCCCCAACATATAGAAGAATTTAGAAGTTTAAGATTTTGTGAATGACGATAATTAAAAGGGACAAACAAAGAAGCAACAAAAGTGAAAAATTGAAACTCGAAATTGTTTTGTGCGAAAAATCTCAAATGAGCTATCAAGGTAACTAATCTTGAAAATGAAGTTTAAAGAATAAAAAACCTTTGTTATTTTACGTTTATCGATTCCGCAATTATGAAATTGCATTGTGATTTTGGTTACTGTTTTCAGAGAAACGTACTATTGATTTAGTAAGGCTTGAGTTGAGAGTATTTTCGAAGCATTCCAGCCCGCATAATTGTTTTATCGCCTAAGAGAACTGTTCACTTTGTGGTGACATGAAAGAATTGAGTAATCTCTCGACGAGGGAGATTATTTCATTGTTCATTCACACCAACGAGTTTCTTCATTTTGATATTCAGGACCAGCGAACTAAAACTCCGGAAGAGGAACTCCAGAAAGGAAGAGACAAGACAAAGTAGAATAATTTTAGTTTGTCGGTTGGCAGGCTTGTGCTCAGGGATGTCGAATACTCGGATTTTTTGATATTCGTTATTCGCCGCGGCCCAACTATTCGATATTCGACTTCGGCCGAATAGTGCCCTTACTATTCGGATTCGGCTTCGGCCAAATGTTACTACTCGAACAACTATTCGGATATTTGGTTATTTTCCCTAGCATAGCATTTTTCAAGAAGAATTGGCTGGGACTCTTCTACATTAGGCATCTTAAAAAAAAACAGAAAAATATTGTGAAACAAAATAGTAAACCAATATTCAGAATATTCGGGTTTTTTAGCAGTGGACCCTGCATTATTCGGTATTCGGCAAAAAAAAAAAATATTCGGATTCGATATTCGGATTTCAAAATTTTAATATTCGGATTCGGCTTCGAAGTGCCGAATACTCGGTATTCGGGTCGAATACTCGGATTCGAATCGATATCCCTGCTTGTGCTGCGTGCCAACACTTTTTGAACCTGGGAAAAAGAGTTTGGTTTGAGAAAATGACGTTAATGAATCCGAACTTTTTTTTTTAAATTTTAGGTCATATCCTTAGAGTGCAGACCAGTGAAAAATAAAAGGGATATAGTGATGTAGTATGATGCCAATTATAGCATGTAGTGAGTCGATATGATGAGGATTAAGTTCTTTTGGTGCAATTTGTAAATTTTGTTCGATGGCACTGTACCATTCTGATTTGTTACTCAGAGTTCATTGAGAACATTGACCGGGCTGTCAGCGGAGTCTGTGCCATTCGCCTAGAAGAACCTCAAAAAAGTACGTCACCAACAGTTTTTAACAAGAGCAGTTTTGCGGGAAGATATGCTGATATTGACGATTAGGTGTCTTTATTGTTAAAGGGAACAAGCTGAGAAGGGTCAGTTTGGAATGATAATGTTATTTTTAAATTTTCAGTTTTGGTGAGCATGACACGTAACAATTTTTTGTCGCGACAATTGAAAAAGCGAAAAGGAGACAGTTGATTTTCGCTAATCAGACTTAGACGTACGACGGATATAGAAGACGATAAGAATTAGTTGTCAGTGTTCGAAGAAGAGTGCTCCGAGTTGTAACGATTGTACTGCTACAACCGTTACAGAGGAGATCCCTTGAATCATGAAGGCTGACGAGAAAATTTGCGATCCTTCCTGATCAAGAAGAAGACGTTTCTGCACGCAGAATTGTAACATTCGCCCAGACATTACACAGTCACGGAGCTTAGAAAAAGTACCTATTGACGACTGGCTGAAGTCTTCCGCCCGAACTGCCGCCACTTCCGACTTCAAGAGTCTCAACTTTTTGGTTCTAATTCTTGATTGAGAGCAGCCATCAGCATACGAAATGAAGGGCAGAGGGCAAGCTCGCATATCCTGGTGACAACGTGAACATCACTTTTGGACTCGATCCTGTTGTATCTCGTTCATCTCGGAGAACAACGTCTCTATTGCCTCCAAAATTTTGCGTGCAGGTGTTCATCCATTCCCGCTAACAGTAGCAATTCCTGCTCGCATGGTGTCTCCGACTTTACTGCTACCACTAGCGTCAACATTTGGCTCAGTTTGGCATCCGGCAACATGTATAAAAGCGTTTCCGTCTAGAACGATTTCTACGACGTTCCCGCGAAGTCCGAACCTGCGACGATTACAACTCGAGCGGCTCCCGGATCCGAGTGATCATAGGCAGCCAGTGCCTTAACCAACTGGGACGCTCCAAACGCATCTCCGTATCTTGCATCTTTTTACAATTCTGGGCCCGCTGAGGCCTTGTCAGGAAGCCCCATAGCCTTAAGAATAGAAGTTTCTCCACCACTTGCAATTGCGCTGGTATCGCCACCCTTATTCTGGCCAGGCCCGTGCGTTGTTTTAGTTTTGGTGGTTCTGCAAATGCGCCTGGATTCTCAAGCTCCCTCAGTGGTCGATAGTTGATCGGACCATTGATCGACCTTCTCTGATTACTTGTCAGGTCCGCCGTCTCCAAGGTCTTATTCTGAGAAAAATGCGCCTCGTGCGACTTAAGTCAGTCTACGCAAAAATGATTCCTTAGGTCCTTATGAGACAGGCTCTTGAGCTCTAGAATTTCCATAACTCTCCTTCAAGTCTGGGTCCCTCACCCTTTCTAGGTATGTAGCCTTGCTCGTGCCGTTCTCGCTGACTCTTTCCAGCACCACGATTGACGACACCACCGAGCTTTGCGGCGTCGAGCCCTTATCCCAAGACATCAAGCCCGGCTGCCTGCTCCTGCTGCTCCCTGAACTGTCTTTAGAATCAATTCTCTCTCCCAACCTGTCTTCCATCGGTCTGACTGAGAAGAAAGGAGGTCTTGGAGGTGGACAAAAATTAGGCTCTCCATTTTCCAGTAAATCCGACTCTAGATTGTTGATATGCATCTGAAAGACTTTGTTCAACCATTCCAAGCTTTTATGTTGATCAAAAAGGATGCCTTTGGAGGATGATCCGCCCGGGAAGAAATCCTCCATCATGTGAGCATTATCAGGCAATCTAAACGGCCGAATACTGCTCCTTTGGATCTCGTGTAGTATCTCATAAATTTGATGCACCCTCTCATTCATGCTCAGTCCATTCTCGTCCAGCATCTTATTTTATGGCAGTGCAAATCATCAGTATCGTATGATCCAGGTAGATCCACACCTCCTGCAACAAACAGCTCACCTTCTCCGGCAACATCGTAATTTTCCTCCAGTCGCCTCTAGACACATCATTTGTGCCCATCAATATGGTGACGGTGTGTATTTTCCTTACCTCTAACATCTCCAGGGAAGCCAACAATTGAGGCATTGCCGCACCTGGGAAACTCAAGACACCCACTTGCCAGTGCGCTTTAACTCTCGTGAGAACCCTGACCAGGCTGTCTCCTATTTTCAAGTGAACCGCGTCCTCAGGTGTTCTTGGTTTCGCCAGGTAACCCACCCAGGCCTCATCATTGAAGGCCTCCCTCCTCTCTCTCTCTCTGGGCGCTCTCCAGTCCTCCTCGTGGTGTTAGTGGTACTTCCCATTGATGTCCTTCTTGTAGTTGGAGACAAGGGCTTTCGTGTACGTCTCCTCTTCCAATGCGGTGCTTTCGGGAGTTCTCGACTGTAGTCTCTAATGAAACTCTTTGAGATGGGAAGGTCTGGCACTAACCTGGCTACAACCAGTCGAGATTAGCGTCAGGCCAGTTAGTGCCACATCCACTGCCAGCGGCTTGGTTCGACTCAACTCCAGATCTCTCAAGGACGGCGTGGGTTCCGGAGGGGTCCACGTCTCTAGATCCTCGCTTATCTGCTCCTGAGCTACTCGACGAGATTAATGCGACCAGTCGCTCTGGGTGTTTCTTCCACTTCGATCTTCGATTCCGGCCTTGATCGAGCCATCAAAGACTCAGTCGGCGTCCTCACATTTTGCTCCTTACTATGTTCAGTCTCTTGTTGCAGCCTCTGACTTTGCTCGAGTTCTGACTTTAGCAGGTCGCATGGGCCGTTGTCTTTTGTAGCTTCCGGCTCTGCTCTATATCGGGCCTCAA